TTCGTGATGCGTTTCGTATTGAGTTTGGCGATGAGTATCAGGTTAATCAACTATTTTCCTCTTCTGGGGTTTGAGTTTTTGGAAACTTATTAACCTTACGGTTTTTGTGGATTCTCTTCTGGGTTTTGAGTTTTCTGACTTAGATCTTGCTTCATGTTCGTTTGTTCTCTTCAGCTTTGCGTTTGATCGTGAGATTTCTTGTAAACTTGCCATTTTATGTTCGTTGTCCTTAATAGATCTTTGTGTGAGCGTGAAGATCTTGCAATTTACTCTATCTGGATTCTTGGTTACTCTGTTTTAGCCAAGTTTTGGCCATTGCTTGTACAGTTGGTTGATCAATCAAAGAGATTCGTGGGGATTTTCCCTTGCTAGAGAATTATTGCTATTCATTTGGCTCTTCTTGTTCAGATCTTTGTGAAGGATGTTTGGAAAGAGTACACTGGTTGGCCTTTGAATGACATGGAGAGATCTTATAAGTTCATGGTGAAGCATGTTCAGCTATGGAAGGTTGCATTTCATAGTACCTCTCCTCGGTGGATTCACTCGGTCTATCTTGCTGCCATTGCCGCCTTCTATGCAAAGTACGTATAACATTCTCTTACGCAGTTTCTTATGGTTAAGTATTATTAGGAGACTTGACTTTTAAGTTGTTAGTACAAAATGAGAAAGAACTAACATAGCGAAACATTGAAGAGAAGACAAAGCCACCCCGAACACCGAAAGCTCGAATGGTTGTGTTATCTTGTATCTCGTTTGATAATACTCTTGTTATTAACATATTTTGAATGTGGAAGTGAGTCATGGATCGGTAGAGGCTTGTTGGGAGGGAGATGATCATGGGTTTATAGGTAAGGAATACATCTCCATTGGTATGAGGCCTTTTGGGAAACCAAAAACAAAGTCATGAGAGCCAATGCTCATAGTGGACAATATCGTACCATTATGGAGGGTCGTGGTTCCTAGCATAATATCAGAGTCATGCCCTTAACTTAGTCATGTCAATAAAATCCTCAAGTGTAGAACAAAGAAGTTGTGAGCCTCGAATGTGTAGTCAAAAGTGACTCAAGTATCGAACAAAGGGGGTACTTTGTTCGAAGGGAAGATTGTTTAGAGAGTCCCACATTGGTTAATTAAGGATATGAATATGGAGTTATAAGTAAGGAATACATCTCCATTGGTACGAGGCCATAAGAGCCTATGCTCAAAGTGGACAGTATCATACCATTGTGGAGGGTCGTGATTCCTAACAGGTTCAACTCATGATTGCATTGGTTTCATTTTTAATCTTCATTTTGGACGATTCATTATCACGAGCTTGTTGTTTGCACTCAACAGCGATCAAGTAACCGAGTAGAGGATGTCGAAAACTAACAATTAGTCTTGTCAGCTTGGTATATATTTGGTGATATCCTCCAAATATTGGGTTGAACTCCCACGTGAACGTAGAGTGAGGGTATTTGATACCCCAATCATTGCATATATATAGCAAAAATGGTTCTTATGAGGCTACTTACATTGTTTGCTGAATGGGGTTTCTAAGTTCTTGCTGCTTTTGTTGTTTGAAGGGAAGTGGAAGCTGGGCTGATGGAGTACAAGCCAGATATTATCATCAGTGTTCATCCACTGATGCAGCACATTCCTTTATGGGTTCTGAAATGGCAAGGCCTTCAGAAGAAAGTGGTATTTGTTACAGTCATAACAGACCTAAACACCTGCCATCCAACATGGTTAGTTTGCAAGTTACTATTTGATTCCCCATTTTCAACTAATGCTTAAACTTCCAACACTATAAATACAGGTTTCATCCTGGTGTAAACAGATGCTACTGCCCCTCAGAGGCCGTAGCCAAGAGAGCCTTGCTTGACGGCATCGAAGTGTCCCAAGTTCGTGTCTATGGCCTACCCATCAGGCCGTCCTTCGTTCGAGCAGTACTCCAAAAGGTAGATAGATCTCTACATTTTGATACAACACAAACCTATAACTTTGTTTGATGGATGTCGGCGAGATCTCACATCGATTGGAGAGAGGAACGAAACATTCCTTATAAGGGTGTGGAAACCTCTCCCTAGTAGATACGTTTTAAAACCGTGAGGCTGACGATGATACGTAACAGGCCAAAGCAGACAACATCTGTTAGTGGTAGGCTTGTACTGTTACAAATAGTGTTAGAGCCAGACAACGAGCGGTGTGCCATCGAGGACGTTGGGTCTCCAGGGGTGGTGGATTGTGAGATCTCACATAGATGAGAGAGGATGAAACATTCCTTATAAGGGTGTGAAAACTTCTCCCTAATAGACGCGTTTTAAAACCGTGAGGCTGGCGGTGATACGTAATGGGCCAAAACAGACAATATCTGCTAGCGGTGGGCTTGAGCTATTACAAATGGTATCAGAGCCGGACGTTGAGCGGCGTGCCAGCGAGGACGCTGGGTTCCCAACGGGGGTGGATTGTGAGATCCCAAATCTGTTGGAGAGAGGAACGAAGCATTCTTTATAAGGGTGTGGAAACCTCTCCCTAGTAGACGCATTTTAAAACCATGAGGTTGACAGTGATACATAACGGATCAAAGAGGACAATATTAGCTAGCTGTGGGCTTGAATTGTTACAATGTTTGATTACACTCACTGTTGTTGCTTGGTTCGATTATTCGCCTTCATAGGATCAACTAAGAGAAGAACTCGAGATGGATCCGAACTTACCAGCCGTGCTACTCATGGGAGGAGGTGAAGGGATGGGTCCTGTAAAGAAAACAGCAAAAGCTCTTGCAGAGTCCCTTTTTGACAAGAACAATGAGAAGCCTATAGGGCAGCTTATTATTATTTGTGGAAGAAACAAAGCTTTAGCCTCTTCTCTTGAAGCTTTGGAATGGAAGATCCCAGTTAAGGTCAGTTTCAAGCCATTCTTAGGGAGCCTTTTTCCATTGGCTTTGGGCTTCCATTTCATCTCCTTTTCTTCCTCTTTTGCAGGTGAGAGGCTTTGAGAAACAGATGGAGAAATGGATGGGAGCTTGTGACTGTATAATAACAAAAGTAAGCCTTTGTTTCATTTCTTGATATAATTAGCAATTAGTGATATGATATCATGAATGTCAACAAACCTTGATATCATATTCATAAGAAAAGGTATCATATTGATAAATACTTATGGGATATTGAATCATGCTGAATGTTTGTTCACAGGCCGGTCCGGGTACAATTGCCGAAGCTTTGATTCGAGGACTTCCCATTATTCTAAACGATTACATTCCTGGACAAGTAAGCGCAACTAAACCCGACATATGCATCGAGCTTTAGACTAGAGTTTCGATAGCAAACTCATTACATGTTGAATCACTACTCAACCCGTTGATGGGTTCTGTTTAACACTGGGTTGAAAATTTGTAGAAGGTCCGAGAAGCGTAGGAAATAAATGACAACTACACGAGTTTGAACACGTGATATTCTATTATGATATCATGTTATATCAAAGTTTAACCTTATGGGTTACGGTAAATTTAATTATATCAACAATTTTAACGTTGCAAAACTTTTTCCTTTGTAGGAAAAAGGAAACGTTCCATATGTGGTAGACAATGGAGCTGGAGTATTCACGAGAAGTCCCAAAGAAACAGCTAAAATTGTTGCAGGATGGTTCAGCACAAAACCAGAACAACTCCACACAATGTCTCAAAATGCTCGTAAACTAGCCCAACCTGAAGCTGTCTTCGACATTGTTCGGGACATCCACGACCTCGCCTGCCAGCGCGGTCCGATGGCAAGCATCCCGTACATGTTAAACTCATCATTTACAGACTTAATTTAAATGGTTTCGTCGACGACATACTCGGCATTGCTAAAGCTTATTCTCCTAGAATTGTAGAATTGTAGAATTGTCATGTACAGTTAGCCTCATCAAAGGATGTAATTTTTTTTTAGCATTTGAAATTTTAATTTTTAAGTCAATATTGAAATGTTATCTAAAATAATAATAATAATAATAATAAATAATATTGAGTGATAATAATATAATTTATTATATTTATTAGGAGATGTTGATATCAATTTTTAAATTTATGTAGATTTTATGGAATATTTTTAGTCACATCGGACAATTAAATATTAATAGTTTAATTATATGTATAATTAAATATCATTTAATTTTTTAATTAATATAATATTACTTTAAATGGTTGTATCGATATATTATTATTTATTATTATTATTAGGATTAAATATAGCTTTTGTTATTATATTTTATTTAACTCAAAAAAATTTAAATTTCCATCCTTTCATTACATTTCTATTTCTATTTCTTAGAAATTTAAAACAAAAAAAATCTTAATAATAATAATAGAAGAGAGTTCCTTCGGAGCAAAAGCAATTTATTTTATCTATGCAATTTGCAAATAAGTCCTTTTCCGACTTGACTTTAGATAAAGATATCTATTTAATCCATGAAATTGGAGTCCCACAGAGATTAGCTCTAAATGAACCGTAAAATTCTCGTTTAAATAGGAAAGGAAGGAGTGGGTAGATAGAGATTTTATCCGGTTTACAAAACAGGGTCGGAGGCGTAAATTATATTATCCGTCCCCGTCTCCACCTATGTGAGTACAATATTATAATATTGAAATGTAAATTTTTAAAAATTTTGTTTTAACATTATATATATTTTTAACATCTTTTACCTTTTGAGTACAATGTTTTATATTTTCTAATAAAAATTATCCATTAAAAAAATTCATTAATATTTTAAACAAATATATAAAAAAGTTGTAGAAAAATTAACAGAAATTCAATTAACCATCGGTTAATCTTTGCCTCTATTCCAGCAAATTAACTGCGGTTAATTTCGGCATCTATTCCGTTTCACCCTTCCCACTCGCAGATATTCCGGTTGCTATTCCGACTCCCATCCACTTATCGGAACAGAAAACTCTCCGGTAAGTCTCATCGGATCATGATTACTCATTCTGCTTACTGTAAAGCCGGAGTCGATCGAACTGCGGATTTCGAAAATTATCGCTTAGAGAGATCGATCCGCTTACGCTCACATTTTCTCCAACGATCTTTGCAGTTAAGAAGAATTTGGATCTCGCACAGGATTGTAAGACATTGATTATTGAGAAAAATATGGTGAGGTTTCAAGTTTTGTAATGCTTTTTCAAGAATTTGGAGCTTGTTTGTGTTCTTGATCCATTTGATCAATTTTAATGGATTAATTTTACCATATTTCAAATGGCTGTTTTTCTCTGTAAGGATTAAATTAGAACTGAGCGAGAGATTGTCTTCTAGGTTCACCACTCTAGCTTTGTGGATGAGGAAGGAATAAACAAGGCTTGTGGATGCCCTTTATATCCTTTGAAAAGTCATGGTCCTGCCCCAGATTTAGATCAAGGTTTAGCTCAACTTCAATTTGATTTATATTGTTTGTTCTTTATGCGTTTCATACTGAAATTGATCTTGTTTGGAAATTCACAGATAAGACTGATATTGTAGATGAAGCGATTTCATTCTTTCGTGCTAATGTCTTCTTTAGAAATTTTGATATTAAGAGTCCTGCTGATAAGCTTCTCATCTACTTAACATTCCACATCAATGTGGCTTTGAAGAGGCTTGAAGGTTGCAGAACTTTGACTGTTGGAAGCAAGGCTATAATTAACTTGGGTTTGGAGAATGTCCCCGTGCCCGGAGAGCATGGCTTTCCCTTTCCTGGTCTCTTCCCTATTCCCAAATCTAATGGGGAAGCAGGTAATGCTTGATCTTAGTTTTCTCTCTCTTTATATATATGTACTATGTATGTACCTGCAACAGCACAAACTCACCGCTAGTAGATATTGTCTTTTTTGAGTTTTTTCCTTCCGAACTTTCCGGTAAGGTTTTTAAAACGCATCTACTAGGGAGAGGATTTCACTCCCTTGTAAGGAATACTTCGTTCTCTTATCCAACTAATGTGGGATCTCACAATCCACCCTATTGGGGGCCAGTGTCCTTGCTGGCACGCACACTGCCCGGTGTCTTGGTCCTAAAAACATTTGTAACAGTCCGGTGTCTTGGTCCTGAAAACATTTGTAACTTTCCAGTAAGGTTTTTAAAACGCATCTACTAGAGAGAGGTTTTCACTCCCTTGTAAGGAATACTTCGTTCTCTTATCCAACTAATGTGGGATCTCACAATCCACCCCATTGGGGGCCAGTGTCCTTGCTGGCATGCACACTGCCCGGTGTCTTGGTCCTGAAAACATTTGTAACAGTCCAAATCCATCGCTAGCCGATATTGTCTTCTTTGGACTTTTCCTTTCAGGTTTTTCCTCAAAGTTTTTAAAATGCGTTTACTAGGAGAAGTTTCCACTCCTTTATAAGGAATGTTTCATTCTCCTCTCCTACCAATGTGGGATCTCACCATCCACTCCCTTTGAGGCTCACCGTCCTTATTGGCACACCACCCAATGTCTGGCTCTGATACCATTTGTAACAGCCAAAACCCGCCACTAGCAGATATTGGGTTTTCCCTTCCAGGCTTCCCCTCAAGGTTTTTAAAATTCATCTAGTAGAGAGTTCCCTTGCAAGGAATGCTTTGTTTTTCTCTCCAATCAACGTGGGATCTCACAATTCACCCCTTGGGGGCCTAGCGTCCTCGCTAGCATACCGCCCGGTGTTTTGCTATGATACCATTTGTAACGGCCCAAGCCCATTGCTAGCAGATATTGTCCTCTTCAGGCTTTCCCTTTTGGGGTTCCTCTTAAGGTTTTTCAAACACATTTGCTAAGGAGAGGTTTCCACACTCCTATTAAGAATGCTCTGTTCCCCTCTCCAACCGATGTGGGATCTCACAGTGCTACTGCTATTTGTTAACTAGAGATGCTCCACTGCCCAATGATTATCAACCTTTGGTTTGTTTGCTGAATACAAACTAGGCACTTTGTTCTTTTCTTGTTTCAATTCAGTTGATGCAGATCTTATGAGTTAATCTTGTGTTCAATAGCCTCCTGTTTCTTGTCTTAGGAGTTGATAATGTTCATAAGGTTCAAATATGTCCATTTTGATATTCAGAGCTATTCAGAGATTATTTGAAGGAGATAAGAGAAGAAACAAGTGGGAGACTCTTGAGTGTTGCCTATAGAGCAAATGGAACTCCAAATAAATGGTGGTTAGCATTTGCAAAGAGGAAGTTTATGAACATCGTCACTCCTTGATTAAATTGCTTCCAAGACGTTGATTTGAAAGTTATAAATAAGCACCACATGAGGCTTCTACAATGATGTGGTTTCTTTCAATGGCACTTCAGGAGGTCGTTTCTAATAAACAGAATCTGAATGTTACATCAGTTTATGCTAATGCATATCAAATTCAGCAGAAGCTAGGTCATGTTCTTTTTCTTTTTAATAATGATCTTAAATGTAATCTGCTACTATTTCACTAGTTTTGTACATTAACTACACCGGTTTTCATGTGTGAGATCCCACATCGGTTAGAGAGGGGAACGAAGCATTCTTTATAAGGGTGTAGAAATTTCTCTCTAGCAGACGAGTTTTAAAACCTTGAAGGGAATCCCGAAAGAAAAAGCTCAAAGAAGACAATATTTGCTAATGATGGGCTTGGGCTGTTACAAATAGTATTAGAGCTAGGTTTTGGAGGTGTGCCAGTGAGGACACTAATCCCCAAAGGGGTTGATATTGTAACAACTTAAGCTCTGCTAGCAGATATTGTTCTCTTTAAGCTTTTCCTCAAGGTGTTAAAATGTGTTTACTAGGTAGAGGCAAGGTTTTAAAATGTGTTTACTAGGTAGAGGTTTTCACACCGTTATAAAGAATGTTTTGTTCCTCTCTCCATCCGACGTGGGATTTCACAATCCACTCCCCTTTAGGGTCCATTGTCCTCGTTGACACTCATTCCCCTCTCCAATCGATGTGGGATCTCACATCATGCCCATGTGTTCTTATTGATTGAATACCCTGTTTCTTACTCTATTCTTTAATTTTGAGGTGATATGATCTGTACCCTTCATATTGATTTCATCTAATCTCATACCATGATGCCCTTAGTTTTTGTATCACGTGTGCATAGAGTGCCGGTTTAGAATGACTTTCAAAGTGCTTCAAAATACGTTCGAAGTCATTCCAAAGTGGTCCGAAATCTACTTACTTTTCGTTTCTCGTATTTTATAGCTTTGTTTCCATGTTTATCCGTCTCTACACACATACGACACACGAATGAGAATGATATTGACTAGTCTGCCACTCTTATATAATGGATCCTTGAATGAAGAAGTCGTTAGTCAGATTGATTTTACAGTTGCAGTGATTGATGATGTCCTTTGTTTTGGTTTCTTGTATTTGAAGGTTCACATGATGGAGGGACCTCAAGTTTGAAGCAGCTAGAGCTTAGGGAGAGAAGGAAGGAAGGAAGGAAGGCATATTCAAAGTTCATTCAGGCTTTGCTTCTATGAGTATGTCTCTGTATTGTCTGATAAAGTCATTAAGCATTTCATTTATTGTCGTCCACAGAAGCAGACAGCAAGTACAAAATCATGAACCATTGGGCAGAATCATGGTAGATGCTTCCTCCCCCTCTATGATTGGTCATTTTCTTTATATATATATATATATCTAAAGGACCCTTCATTTAATTTCATTCTTGAGAATATTCTATTTTCAAAAGTTAACATGTGAAGTAAAAACAACTATCGGCCACTTTTACAATATTTTTTTTGTCACGGCAAAATTTTGACGTGATTTGAAGTTGTTTTGAAAACATAATTTCTCGGGTTAGACTCTTCCCCATGAGTGTAAGCAAGTAAGGAGTTGGCTCGATGCCAAATTTCGGGAGGAGGGAAGAAACATCGTGTTGAAAGAAAGGATTATTACGAAAGGGAAGGAGGAGGACAAGAGGTGCACTCCGTATCAAATGGAAGTTACAGAAAAAGGAGTCGAACCTCGATTAAGGGGAGACGTACTTTGTTCAAGGAGAGGTATTGGATGAAAGTCCCACATTGGCTAACTTAGGGAATGATCATAAGTTTATAATCAAAGAATACTATCTCTATTAATATTAGTTTTTTTTTTAGGAAGTCCAAAGTAAGACCATGAGCTTGTAGCATTGAATTAATGACATGACATTACAAAATCCTAGTGTGAAAATCTTAATTGCGTTAGGTAAAGAATCGACGATAAGTATTTTGAATGGTTATAGTGACGAAAGTTGGAATTTGATAATTTTGAAACATGAAAAGTAAAAACACACAAATAAATAGTTTCATTGTCGGGTCATTTGGACTAGAAAAATCACCGAAAAATGATAACATATTAAAATTTTTGTAACGAACCAAAATATGAAGATAGTACTTAGTAACGAGTAATTACAACACGTAGCTGTTCAGTGGAACTAGTCTGTAGCCACATGTTTTTTTCTAACAAGATCGGTAGTCTGTTATGTTAAAAGGAGTTTGTCTGGTTTAAATAATTTTCATTAAAAAAATACATGTGATTTCATTATGATATATTTACTAATATATCTAATTAATTATCTTATTATAAATAGTATAGTATAGGGATATTTATATTGACATTTATGTCAATTTGGATTAATTTCTTAGTGGATTTTGTGGGACTTTAATATATGGTTTACATCATTATATTATACTAATTTAATGCATTGACTAATTGATTTATTAAAATATATAATTTATTTAGGAATCAAATTTAATTCTTAAAGAGTTTTTAATGCTTTGGTCAAATAGGTGTAGTGGTGGGAAAATTATAAATAAAAGAAGTATTTTTTGGAAAAAATTTCAAAATAAAAACATATTTATAATTGATAGAATCAAGTGCAACCAATCAAAATTTTTATTTTAAATATTTTAAAAAATAGTAAATTTCTTTATATAAAATTTTATATATAATTAAATAAGGAACTAGAATGAAAATACGGGCCCTATTAATTGTGCATGTGTTGAACTAACAAAGAGAGATACATTTCGTTAACGTTGGTATACCTACATCTTCTGACATTGTCCTATGAACTCATTTTCAAAAGAAAACACTTGAAACACTATTTGTCTCGATCTTCACATGGACAGATGCAAGCTACTCGATTGTCCCTCTAACTACACCGAGAGATCACAACCTACTCTCACATGAGCGAATAGGAGCCACTCGATTGTCTCTCTAACTGCACATAGGGATCACAAACCTACGCTCTTCTTAATACGACTAGATGGGCACCACTTGCATATCCTTCTGATTACATGTAGGAATCACAACCTACTCTTTTCTTAATACAGCCAGATGGGTACCACTCGAACCTCACATGGGCGGTTGAGAGTCACTCATTTGTCCCTCTGACTACACATAGGGATCACAAAGCTGGTCTCTTCTTAATACGACCGATGAGCGCTACTCGCATGTCCTTCTGATTGCATACAAGGATCACAACTTACTCTTTTCTTAATACGGCTAGATGGGTGCCACTCGTATGTCTTTCTGACTATAGGGATCATAACCTAATCTCGGCCATATGGGCACCAGGACCCTGACATGAGCATCTAACTATACGTGGAGATCACAAACCTATTCTCTTCTTAATACAACTAGATTGGTGCCACTCGTATAACCTTCTGACTACGTGTATGGATCATAACCTACTCTCTTCTCAAAAGACAGTAATTTTTGTATTTGAAGTTAAAAGAAAAAGGAAAAAAAAAAAAAAAAAAGGAAAAAAAGGAAGCTCATCCTCATTGCCCACCATGCTCAGTCACTCCCAATTCTGCGATCTCAGCCGTTGATGGGCCGAATTCATGAAGGTTATGTCTATGAAATCTAGGGCTTACACCATCATCATCTTCTTCTTCTTCTCACCTTCTTACCCTCCTCCCCCATCGCTTTCACCTCCCCTCCCATGTCTTCCAATTTCCACCACCACCATCGACACCACCCAAATCTTCCTTTCAACTCTCAGATCTTCCCCACTTCTTGTCCCCACCTCGCCGACTTCCGTTCTCGAAATGGTTCCAAGTCCTTCCGCCTTCTACAAGACTGCCTTCGCGTCAAGCCCCCCGGTGGCCGCGCCGCCATCCGTCGAGACCCTAACGAGGTTCCCCGATGTGGTTCCTGCGGTGATTCCGCTCGTCCAAGGCTCTATGCTTGTGTGACCTGCGCCGCCGTGTCCTGTCACGCGCCGCCCTCCCATTCCCATGCTGCGGCTCACGCCGAATCAATGCCGCCAGGTCATGAGATCGCTGTCGACGTCGATCGTGCCGAGCTTTTTTGCTGTGCTTGCCGCGACCAGGTTTATGATCGCGACTTTGACGCTGCAGTGGTGTTGGCTCAAACGACGGCGTCTACTCTTGGCGGGAATGCGGTCTCTTCTAGTGGAGCACCGCCGTCGCAGCCTCTGCTCCCGCCGGAGAATCTGAGGAAGCGGCGGAGGGTTGATTATCAGCCGTGGGTACCGGATCTGAGGGAGAGGGTTTTAGTGGGTACTAATTCGAGTCCACTTGATTGTGCGAATTCCAATCCGGGTTCTGAATCTGCGTTGCCCTGGGGGTTGCGGGGATTGAACAATTTGGGGAATACGTGTTTTATGAACTCGGTCTTGCAAGCATTGCTGCATACTCCGCCGTTGAGGAATTTTTTCTTGAGTGATCGTCACAATCGCTATTTTTGTCAGAGAAATGTCAATGTGGGCAATAAAAATTCGAATGCCAACGATGGAAATGGCAGTAAAAATTCGCGCAGCTGTCTGGCTTGTGATCTGGATTCTATATTTTCTGCTGTCTTCTCCGGTGATCGGATCCCTTACAGCCCAGCAAAATTTTTATTGAGGTTTCATTCTGATGCATTTCTTGATCGTGATTTTCTCTTTCGTAGAATGTTTGATTCTTCAATGTTCGATTAGTTTTCTTTATTTTCTGTGTAAAGATGGGGTTCTTTTTTTTTCTTTCCAATTCACTCAATTGGTGTCTCATTGCAGCTGGTGGCAACATGCTGCAAACCTCGCAAGTTATGAACAACAAGATGCACACGAATTTTTCATCTCTATTCTCGAAGGCATCCACGAAAAGGTAGACAAAGATCGGCGAAAACCTTACAGTCAAGGTAAATTCCTGCTTTTCAATGTTCTGTTTACTTTAAGATTCTTTTCACACAATGTACATGTTTTATTTACTTTTTCTCCCCTCACCTCTCTCCTTTTGTTATTTCCTGTTTTCTTTTTTGCACTGGTTGCTGTTTGAAAGTCAAAGAACAGAATCATTTTCAAGTTTAGTTTGTTGCAAAATATGCTTTTTTTTTTTTTTTTTTTTTTTTTTTTTTTTTTTTTTTTTTTTTTTTT